GGACCCAGGGGCTGTTTCAGGACCCAGGGGCTCTCCTGTGGGGTTTTTTGAGCCTGGGGAAGCCTCTACCACCCACGGTGTGTCCCAAAGCTCCTTCCCAGGGGCCGGGCTCTGAGGACAGCTCTGAGGGGGAGGACAGGGGGTCTCACCTGGCTCTGCCAGGATCTCCGGGCAGAGATTGAGGAGTGGCACGTGGGGACGTGGCACTGGCAGCACAGGGGCTCAGAATGAGATGGCATTTAAGGTCCCTTCCAACCCAAACCTGTCTGCGAGTCTGTGATCCCAAGTCTAAATGGGCCAGATGAGGAGGCTGAGCTGCAGCATCCCCTGGAAGCTCCAGCAGCCTAATTAATGCCTGCTAATTGTGGAATGACTGATGTTTCCAGCAGGCTGGCGGTGCAGCCTGAGCCAGGCAAAACGCTCCAGGTGAAGCAGAGACAAAGCAGGGAGGCCAGAACCTGTGTAATTTTAAAGAGAAGCCACCTGGAGTTTCTGGTTCCTGGCTGAGCCCAAAGCCACGTTCTGTAAAGGTCCCTTGGCAAAGCCGGGGGCTGCTCCTGTGTCAGCTCCTGTTTGGGACCCCAGCCCAGAAGTGCAGGGGGACCCTGCCAGGCCCACGCCCCTCTCCTCCAGGTGACCCCCAGCCAACCCCTGGTGCACTCGGGACCACGGGACGGCCGGGGCCAGCTCGGCCTGCCTGGGGCCTGGTGGCTGAAGGACGTCCCGAGAGCTGAGCCCGTCCCCGGGGCCACCACAGCAGCAGCGCTCGCGTGGGCACGGCCAGCAGCACCCAGCCCTGCTCCTCCTCAGGGACGACACGAGCCTGGCCCGCTTGGTTCCCTTCCCTCCGGCACCCAGAGCAGCCAGGAGCCTGTGCAGAGCCGTGCCCAGAGCCACGTCCACTGTCCAGCTCCAGGACTGGGACTCCCAGGGTCTGCTCCCTGCAGCCAGCGGCTGCTCCGGGGCTGGCCCGGGCCCGCACAGAGCTGCTGACTGTGTCCTCCAGGAGCTCTCCGACAAGCGTCCCCACAGCACACAGAGGGAAGGAGGAGGACAAAGTCATCTTCAGCAGCAGCACCTGGCCCGGCCAGTGCAAGCAGCGCAGCGCCAGCTCAGCGCCCGCCCTGCCCGCCCGAGCTCTGCTGTGCCCCGTGGCCGTCCCCCCTGCCCCAGCTTTGCACGGCCGTGCCAGCTGCTGCAGGGGCTGGGGACCCTTCGTGCCACACAGCAGCAGCTCCCCAGCTCCCCTCGGCAGCCGGGCAGAGCGGGGCTGGGGCCGGGGTGCCCCCTCACATCACGGAGCCATTTCCTGCCTGCCTAGCAGGGACGGACACACTGGGCAGCGAGGAGGCTCCCCGGGCACTGGGGCTGGGATGGTGCAGAGCAAGGAGATTTGGGGCAGGGCTTTTCGGGGACAGGGGTGCAGGTGCTTCCCACACCTGGAAGCTGCAAACCCTGGGGAGCAGCTGCCCCTGGCTCCAGCCTCGTGTCTGGGACACCTCTGGAACTGAGTGGGGTCAATTGAGCCTTGTAGGGTCGGGGCAGCTCACCCCCAGCTCTGCTCTGCTCCCTCTGCCTCACAGCCCGGGTTTTACCTCTGAGGGTGGAGAAATCCCAAATGAGCAGAGCTCAGCACCAAACCCAGCCTGGTGGAAAACCCAGAGACGAGATTAGGGATGGGCTTGGAGCAGCCAAACCCCAGCAGCTCTGCTGGAAATCCCAGTCACTGATGGGAGCAGCAGGGTCTCACGGCAGGTGGGGGCTCCTGGGAGAACAAACCGGGTCTGCCCCAGTCCCTCCTGCTGTCCTGCCCTCCCTGCTTTAAGCCGTGCCTCAGTTTCCCTGCCTGAAAAAGTGGATTTGCTGCTGTTTGTGTCAATAAAAAACTGGTTGGTCCTTTTGCCTCATCCATTTTGCATCCCCCAAAGGTCTGTGGTTCCCTGGGCATGAACCAGCAGAAGCTGCCCTGGGAAGTTGCCACATTCCAAGCAGAAAGGAAAAGGCCTTTCCTGAGGCAGTGCTGGTGTCCCCAGACCCACACTCAGGGCCTGTTTGGATGGGACTTGTGAAAAACAAAAGCTCCTGGGGTCACAGGAGATCCTGAATGAATTTTGTGCCTTTGAATCCACGGAGCTCAGTCTGGACAGCTTCGTGCTTCCCAGCTCAGTCACTTCGTGATGGGGATCACCCTAAACCACCCTAAACCAGACCCAAAAGCTCCTCAGTCCCAGTGGACGAGGCTGGGTTGGGAGCACAGGAGGAGCTTGGCTGGAGCACAGCTGGCTCAGCACCCACCTGCCTGGCCTGGGGCTGGGTTGGTCAAGGGGACACTACACCCCCACCCCAAATGGGCTGGGCAGCACTGTCCAGTCAGAACGTGGGTAAAGGCCTGGCTAAGGCCAGCCTGGACAGGGCTGGAGCAGCCTGGCACGGCGGAAGGTGTCCCTGCCATGGCAGGGGGTAGAAATGGATGGGCTTTGATGTCCCTTCCAAGCCAAACCAGTCTGGGATGCCACGATGCTAAGACTCTAAGGAAAGAATTCTAAACATGTTAAGGAATTCTATTCATTCTGAGGTAGGCTTTATCTTGCTGTGTCCCTGGCTAGGAGCAGGACATGGGACAGCAAACATGCCCCTGTCCCGAAGGGGATCCGCCCTGCCATGACCATTCCATGGCACTTCTGGAGAGCAGCCGCTCTGCTTTGTGCCTCAGTTTCCCCAAGGGAGCCCTGCCTGTGACCAGCAGAGGGGGAGCAGGGCAGGAGGAGGACAAGGTGTGAAATTCCCTCTCTTAGGGAAACAGGAAAGTTTTCAATAGCAGCTGGCACCTTGCACACGGCCTGCCCCAGACTTGCAGCAGGGCAGCAGAAGGGGGATGGGGAAGGGAGGCTGGATCTCAGGACGTGTCCCACCATCCCTTTGGGAATGTGGAGCTCCTGAGCCTGCCACGGGCTCGGCCCCACAGGCAGAGGAGGGTCCTGAGCCCCTCACTGATGCAGGAGTCAGCAGCCCGTGCTGGGGACTGTGGAGCTGCCCACCTGGTTCTGCTAAGAAAAATAAATAATAAATTTAAAAAGCTGTTTCCCCCCTCTGGCTCAGCAGAAATGTTTTCTGCTGTGTCAGAGTCTGACTCAGCAGAAAGGGGACACTGCCCTGGGGCCAGGGGCTGCCTTATCACTGCCCACAAGGCTCCTGTTTGTGCCACCCCAGTTATCAGCGCTGAGCATGGCCAGGCTGGGGCCGGCACCGTGACTCAGCACCCCGAGCCTGTGCAAACTCATCCCCCCAGTCTGTGATGGGAGAGCCCATAAACATCCCATAAACTGCAGAGAACGGGCTCCAGTCCTGGGCACGGGGGTGAGACCCCTCACTTTGACCCCGGCTCTGACCCTGGTCCTGGCCCTGATGCCAAACCTGACCCCAGTCCTGGTTCTAACCCTGGTCTTGGTTCTGACCCTGGTCCCAGTCCTGCCCCTGGTCCCAGTCCTGCCCCTGGTCCCAGTCCTGACCCTGGTCCTGGTTCTGACCCTGGTCCCGATCCTGACCCCAGTCCTAGTCCTGATCCTGGTCCTGGTTCTGACCCTGGCCCACATCTTGACCCCAGTCCTGGTCCTGCCCCTGGTCCCAATCCTGTCCCTGCCCCTGGTCCTGGTCCTGCCCCTGGTCCTGATCCTGCCCCCGGTCCTGGTGCTGAGCCTGGCTCAGATCCTGCCCCTGGTCCCAGTCCTGACCCCAGTCCTGCTCCTGCCCCCGGTCCTGGTGCTGAGCCTGGCTCAGACCCTGCCCCTGGTCCCAATCCTGCCCCTGGTCCTGGTCCTGCTCCTGGTCTCAGTCCTGCTCCTGGTCCCAGTCCTGCCCCTGGTCCTGCTCCTGCCCCTGGTCTCAGAGCTCCCTCTCTGCCTGTCTCTGGCTGTGTGAGGAGGAGCCCCAGACAGACCGAGCCCTGGGCTGGGTGTAACGGGGTCAGCGGGATGTGCCCTGAGCCCACCCCAGCTCAGCTGCTGCCTGGGGCTCCCTGGCTCTGCCCGGGGCTGGTGCTGGGCACAGCTGGGCAGAAGGAGTGATGGAGCTCAGGCCAGTGCCCCTCTCTCTCACAAGCCCTGGGACCCCTGGTGGGGATGAGCCCCATGGTCGCTGTCCGGGCAGTGGGAGAGGCTCTGCCAAGGGCTGCCCCGAGGACCAGGACCAGTGCCCCACCTGGGGCAGGGGGGAGCTTCCCTCCAGCCCCAAACAGCCCCTCAGCCTCTGCAGAGGGAAATGAATAAGAGCCCGCTGGCAGGCTGGGGTCAGACGTGGAGTTGGGGCAGGTCTGCCCTCCCAAAACCAGCCCAACACGGGAACAGGTCTGGCTCTGTCCATTGCCAGCTTTAAAGGCTGGAAAGGCAGAACAAGACCTGTAAAACATGTCCTGGCCCAGCTGGTGCCGTGCCAGGAGGAGAAAAGGCCTTGCCTGACCTGGAAGCATCCTCGCACACAGAAAACTTTTTGTTAGCAAGTGCCCCAGGACTGGGAGGTCCAGGACAGCTCCGGTGGCTCCCAGACAACCTGGGGCTTTTTCTGGAGGCCTGTGGGGAAGGGATCCTTCTGCAAGGCAGCGAGGGGCAGAGGCAGCTGGGCCTGTGGCAGCTGCAGTGCTGGGAGCACTGGTGAGACCCTGGGAGCTCGCCTGGCCTGGGACAAAGGCTGCTGGAGCCTGCTGAGGGACAGCAAGGACCTCCTCTGGGGGTCTGGGGCTACCTGGCTGAGGGGCACCAGTTGTAAATGCAGGTGAGCCCGGTGGGAAGAATGATGATGCCTGACTCAGTTCAGAGGCGGAATGATTTCTTTATTATAACTATGCTATAATACATTAATATACTATTTAAAGGAGATACTAAAACTACAAACCTACTTTTTCTAATTACCAAATGTAACTCCCAACTCTTGACCCTCTCTGAGAGTCCAGCCCCAGGTGGGTTGGATTGGCCATCAGGCTGAAACAATCCTCACCAGAATCCAACTAAGCAATCACCCCAGGTAAACAATTCTCCAAACACATTCCACATGGGAAAACAAGGAGCAGAAACAGAAATTGTTTTCTCTTTCTTCTCTCTGTGCTGCTCTATGAAAAATCCTGAGAGAAAAGAGAATGTCCCTGTGACAGGTACCTGCTCTGCACCCTCTGCTGCCAGCACAGCACAGCACAGCACAGCCAGCCAGGCTTCCTCCAGCTCCTTCTCCTGCAGCAGGGCCCGGCAGTTCTGGGGATGGGGGAGCAGCCCCATGGCTGCAGGAGCAGAGGGAAGGGCTCGCTGAAGTCATTCCTGTCCCATCCTCCTGGTCCCTGTGAATCCTCCTGGGGGCACCGGGCA